AGAATAGAATAGAATAGAATAGAATAGAATAGAATAGAATAGAATAGAATAGAATAGAATAGAATAGCAGAGTTATTGGAAGGGACCTTGGAGGTCTTCTAGTCCAACCCCCTCCTCAGGCAGGAAACCCTATACCCGTGATAGCAAACCTATGGCACATATGCTAGAGATGGCATGCAGAACCCTCTCTGTGGGCATGCATGCCGTCGCCAGCTGTTCTTCTGGTTTCCAGTGCTCACTGGGCAGTTGGTCTTCGGGGTTCTGGTGCCCGTGCTTTCATGGGCACATTCCAGTTTGGGCATTCTGTGCCGGAAACCATCACTGCCCTATCCCATTTCAGACAAATGGTTGTCCAATCACTTCTGGAGGTTTTAACTCCAGTGTTGGAGGATTCACAACTTCTGGAGGCAAGTTGTTCCGCTGATTAATTGTTCTAACTGTCAAGAAAGTTCTCCTTAGTTGTCTCTTTGATTTGTTGAAGCACTTGGATTTTTATGACAGCACTCAGTCTTTTGGTGTAGGATTATGGCCTATCTTGCCTTGGGAATCTTTGCCCGTTCTTGCAAAAGCACTCCAAATCTGTCAGTGTGCAAAGTCATCTCTTATGTACAGGCCTCTTCAGGTTTTCAATTGGATTCAGATCTTGGTTCTGGCTGGGTCATTCCAGAACTTTGATCTTCTTCTGGTGAAGCTGTTCTTTTGTTGGTTTGGAGTTATGCTTTGAGTTGTTTTTGTGTTGAACAGGGAATTTCCTTTTTATCTTCAGCATGTTAACAGAAGCCTGAAGATTTTTTTGCCGAAATTGATTGATATTTGGAACTGTTTATAATTTCCTGAGTAAAGCCTCAGTTCCAGCTGAAGAAAAGCAGCCCCAAAGTCTAATGTTGCCACCACTATGCTTCACTGTGAGCATGGGGTAATTTCAGATTTTCCTATATCCCACAGGTTTTATATAAAATGTAAACAATAGAAAATTAATAAAACTATGAAGTTTTATTAATTTTCTATTGTTTACATTGTGTTACTGCTTAATTAACATCATCTAGGTTATTTTATTTGCTTAGCAGTACAGATTGCATTCTTAATCTCCACCCCTTTTTTCCGAACAGTGGTAGAATAAGTTCTCCATTTGATAATATTCTGTATCTTCTTTCTATTTAAGTTTAATATGAGTGTCTGAAAGGGACACTTTCTGTTGGATCACAGATTGAATCAGAATGAAGGAGATGATGTCCCCCATTCTCAAGAAGCCATTGTTGGAACTAACAGTATTAGACAACCTTTGTCCAGTCTAACTACCCTTTTAAGGAAGTTTGTTGGCAGGGTGGTCGGCACACAAGTAGCAGGTTCTAGTCCTTCCTTCGTTCCCCTGCTTCTCTGTATGTTTTCCAAAACTCTAGTTCTGAGATGCTGACTGGTTTTTTTTAAAGGTATGTTATGTTTATAGTTTTTCTAATTATATTTATGTTTCCATCATTTATGTTTTCATCAAAAAAAAATATTTCGTAGGAAAACAAGAGCATCCCTTGTTAGAAAACAAATGTTTTCATAAATCGCATGAATTCTGAAAAGAATATTATGACTCATTCCTGAGAATGAGTCACTCAGCAGAAGTTCCATAGTGAACAAGTTGTCCTTGAACTGCCTAGTAATGTTCTTCATTAGTATATCAGATATTTCCCCCCTTTAAGTTGAATCCTGCATGATAACTACTGCCTAAATAAACGGGTTGGAAGACAATTGTGGAGAACTGCAAATGTTTTTGAATTCTTAAGGATTTATTGTTGCCACATTACCTTAGGAACAATGGTAGGAATCCAAAGCTGTGCTTAATGTGGAAGAGACCAGAGAAGCAATCCACACACTTCCTCTTCTTATAAACACCAAGGGTCTTTGAAGTTCTAATCTGGAAACTGAGGATCTCTCTGGGGTAGCAAAAGAGGCAAAAATTGCCAAAGAAAGAATAAATCTTCCCTTATTCCTTGTCTACATTAGGCAACCATCTGGTGAACATTAGCATCCTTCCATTCATGTAATGGCCAATCTGGATCCACTATAAAGGCTGCATTCACACAACATGTGAAGGAAATATTTTACAAACTATCACACCATATCTTGGCATGACTTGTGAATCCATCTGGAATGTTTGATCCGTTTTGCCAAAAATACATACATGTGTTTCAGAAATAGCACAGAAATCTCACAGCATAACATTAGAATTACCTCCATTGAATAGTTATATAAATCCCTTTTTCTGGACCAGCGGTCGCCACTGGTGGGCCTCGAGAAAATTTTGGTGGGCTGCAGAGAAATGTCACCCCCCCCAAAGCAATTAATCCAGGCTGCTCGGAAGGCTGCGCCACCCACATGGCCCGCAGGAACCTTCCCCACCCACTCACTCCTTACCCAGCAAACTTGCCTACTAAATTGCTATTTACAAGTCATAGCAGAGAGTTCTGACAAAAT